AAATTATTAATTATTTAAAAACATATATCTTGAAACTATTATAGATAAAATATCTATGTTACAAATTCATTCATAAAAATACATACAAATAATACAGTACACTATGAATATATATTTGTTTTTACATAATAATTTTTATTACAAAAATGTAATTATGTGATGGTGATAATATGTGCTAGGTATATACCGGGTGAGTCATCTAAGACTGGAAGCTGAAATATTTTCAAACCTGTTAATTATATCCAAGAGACTTCAAATAAAAGTTGAATGGTTTCGAGGAGGACATTGTTTGATATGACTAATAGCATTTTTTTAAGGGGATGTGTCGAGCACATATGAAGGTCAAGTTTGTTTTTTTTAAATATAATCATATATTTTTTAATGCATCAATCGATTCAGCTCACTATTTTCTATAAAAAAGTGTTAAGCTATTTATACCGAGAAACCATTACTTTAGGAGATATTTTAATTAAAATATTAAGGAATAGTACTCTTACAACCAATTGTTGCTGATTACGCGAGGTACTTTTTTCTATAAAATTATAGAGGCTAACAAATCAAATGTATCTCTGGCATTTCGGGTACGATTGTGTTCTCTACAAATGACTTTTTGCGAAAAAATTTGTATAAGACTAGAATTTATAACGTGTACAGGTCATGTAATGTTTATTCATTCAATGTGATTCGATTTAAATAAATATTCATTACATTATTACATATTACCTATTATAAAATATGTTCAAAATTATAACCGTTGGCATCTAAACATTTTTGGTAAGAGTACCTACCTACCATTCCGCAATATTTTAATTAAAATAGCTCTTAAAGTAATGGTTCCTCGGTATAAATGGCTTAACCCTTTTTTATAGAAGCTTTTATAGAGCTGAATCGATTGATGCATTAAAAAATATACGACAACATTTAAGAAGTAAATTTGACTTTCATATGTTCTCGACGCGTCCACTTACAAAAATGCTAGTCATATCAAACAATGTCCCTCTCGAAACCATTCAACGTTTATTTGAAGCCTTTTCGGTATAGTTAACAGTTTTGAAAATATTTCAGCTTCCAGTCTTAGATGACTCACCTGGTATATGGTATGACTTAACAAATAAATTTACCAATCAAAATTTAATATATGAACGTAGAAAAATACAAGCAATATATTAAGTAAGACTTATTTTATTTAGTCAGAAAAGTAAAAGAAAACGTGTTGTGTTTCAAATAAAATTTGTAACTTAAATTATTCTATACATAATGATATCTAATATTGTAAAAAGGATTGAAACATTCTGTATTTCCATTCTGTGTTTGCATCATAAGTAAATTCCTACTTTATTTATACTATATTCTCTATAAATTAAATATATCAAGCCTCCAAATCTACTTAAACAGAATAACTGAAATTATACCTTATCACAAAAATAGATATAATTATTGTGCTGCTATATGTACATTGTATTTAACTTGAAGTTGTGATGAACACTTATACATATATGTATCATCAATATCAAATTTGTAAACACTTAAGTTAATGAAAACATCAGATGTAATATGTTTATAAATGCATATCATACTTCTTTCATAATATATCAGTAGCTTCTTAAATAAAGACTCCTTTATTAAACACTCGCACGCGCGCACACACACAAAATAAGTTT